TTTGACGTTCTCGTATTTACCACCAGAGGTTGAATCGATCGTTTAGTTTCTATTCAAAAGGCGTATTTTAAGAAGGATTCCAATTAAATTATTAGAAGAGATTGCAAGGAAATTCCAAAAAGAATTCACTGGTAATTATTACACGGGGTGTTTTCTAACTTATTTCAGAACAATTTCAGATAATTCAGGGCAGAGTTCCAATGTTATTTTGGAATTCATATCGTGAGAATTTAGAACAACGAAAAATTAAAACCCTGCAAAAGAATAATTCAGTTTCGGTTTTTACAAATTTTTGTTTCCAAAGTCCAGCATCTTTAATATTTTCTTTTAAGGACCAAGCACTTTACACCTGAATTTGAAACGACAAAAATCAATTTGTAATATTGCTCAGTGATTAAATTCTAAAAACAATAAGACGGAAAACTGAAGAAAATTATGCAGCAAATAGAGCAAGTTATTCATTCGGTAAAAGATTACTCTGTTTTAATGGTTTATTCTGAAATTCATGTGTAAAAATTTGTTCGTATGGTATGGTTAAATTATTTTTCCCGGTTCTCCCACCGAATTCCCGGGTATTTCTCGGCTTTCCCGGTTACTTTTCAAATTCCCGGATATTTATTATTATATTATATTTTGTTATTCTCAGAGTCGAAGTGACTTTCGTCACTAGTACAGGGAAAACATTCACGTCGTGGTCACGTGACTCTCTGTGCAAATCAAATGGAGAAACACGTCACCACGACTTTTCTCCAGTTTAAACTGGAATGTTGGCATCACTGTTGTGTACATCACAATACACGATAAAAAGAAAATCGTAATAATTTTTCCTAAAAATAACCATAAACCATTCGCGTCATTAAAGTAAATTCCGCAATTTTTGCGACATCATTTAATGTTTCCGCGATTTTCGCGACTGAAGGCTCAAATCCGCTACAAATCCGCGAAAATCTCGAAATACGAGCCTGTTGTAACAGCCCTGTATTTTGTATGACCGCTTGTATGAAAAAGTCAGCAGCAAACTGTTCAAGATTATGGGACCAGAATTTTCTGAAAAGTGGAACAGTGAAAGGTATGACATCTCAGATATCTCACTCATATACATTCTATGTATGCCGTACGCATATTCAATATTCCAGATATGGAGAAATTTTCTAGATTATGAGACATGAAAAATCTTCAAGGTTCTAAAATAGGCAAAAGTATTCTAAATGCCTGACAACATACATCGAAAAACTTTTTAATTTAGCAAAAAATAATACAAAATCAGGTGTCTAAGGCTTAAGTTCCACTCACATTAGATCCATTTGCGCTGCGTTGACATACAATTGACAGCTAGACAATAGATTTGACTGTCACTTTGCCGCAACGCGTCAGATCCGGATCTAATGTGGGTGGCCCTATAGGAACTGTTTACTGGAATCATTTAATACAATTTTACTGGAATCATTTAATACAATTTTGGACGATTTTGGACTTGTCAAATTTCCGAAACTCTGGGACATCGCTTTTTATTTTAGAAATCATACATACTTTTAAGTATCCCGTACTTAGAAAAAGTTAAGAATTACAAGCTTGAAGAAATATTCAAGGATCTAGGTGAAATATTCGAGATATCGTACTATGTGTTTTAATAGCCCCGTAACGTGGGTACATCACCTTTTCGTGGTACGTTACGGGATGTAAGATCTACCACCAAATCCTAGTCCTGACTACTTCAAAGGATCGCATCTTAGTCCTTGTTACTTTTTATGCCTTGTTGATAGTGTCAATACTAGGCTTTGTCCACCGAGGATGAACTTGAAACAAGGGAAAAATTGAGTTAGTTAGTCTTCATTTATGTGATTCCTAAACCCAGTGAATTTTCATTTTGAAATTCCCGGTTTTTTCCCGGTTTTCCCGGTTTAAATCTTAAAAAATCCCGGTTGTTAACATTCAACAAAAAAAAAAACGAAATTGAACGCATTTTTAAGAACGTGCTGAAAGAAATTTGTTGAAAGGAAAAGGATTAAAAAAAATTGATTCAAGAAGATTCCCAAGATTCTGGGGCTTTAAAATTTGTCTAGAGTCTGAAACTAGATTTTTTTTTTTAATATGTGATTAATAACAATCTTTGTAATGCAAAATTTGTAGAAAAAATAATTAAAATGTGAGATTTCGAAAAATTTCAATACCACAAATTTGATCAAAATTATATCATACTTATTAGTCGGGGAGTCATAATTGTCACGCTTTGAGACTTGGAAGCATTTTAAGAGTTATAACAAATTACTGAACAGTCTATAGAAAAAAGGAGTTGTGAAAAACAAAATTTTGCGGAAAATTCCTACGTTATTCGGAGGAGATTTTTTATGGGGATCATGAGAAAAATTTAAGATGACGTTTAAGAAGAATTCCAGGAGAATTATGATCAGAATTCAACAAGAAACAGAGTTCTAAGAGTGTTTTGGCAATAATTTCAACCCTAGTGCGAAAGATTCATTACAGAACTCCAACAAAATTGATTGCAAAAATTTGCTAACAATTAGAAAGAAATTCTTTGAGGGTTTTCTAAATCAAATTTCGAAAGATATCTACAAATATGTGTTTCCAAAGTCCAGCATCTTCAATATTTTCTTTTAAGGACCAAGCACTTTACATCTGAAATTGAATTGACAAAAATCAATTTGCAATATTGCTGAGTGATTAAACTGTAAAAACAATAAGACTGAAGGGAAACTGAAGAAAATTATGCAGCAAATAGAGCAAGATATTCATTTGGTAAAGGATCACTCTGTTTTAATGGGTTATTCTGAAATTCTGGTGCAAAACTTTGTTCCTTTGGTATGGTTAATTTATTTTTCCCGGTTCTCTCGCCAAATTCCCGAGTTTTTTCCCGGGTTTCCCGGTTACTTTTCAAATTTCCGGATATTTCCCGGTATTCCCGGTTTTCCCGGTTTGCTGGCCACCCTGTTCTATTCGTTGTTCTCTAGTTGGAGGCGGTTAAGACTAGGGTTCTGATGCATGATCATTATCGGTGTTATTGCTTATTTTGGAATGGATTCCTTGCGATGAGAAGGCAGTCGCAGTGGTTGTATGTCCCGAGCAGAAACAAAAACAATGTGTTTTTATATAACAGTATTTAATTAAAATAGACAGATATTAATCAATTAATCCCCGGCCAAATTTCCGGTTCATTCCCGGTATTCCCTGTTCAGTCAACAAACCATGTATGAGCTGCGTGGCCTGCATAAATTAACTGATGCCTGAAATCCTTGCAGCAGGTGATGGAATGGCCGAAGATCAGCTTCCACAACCTAGCAATTTTTGGGTGTACCTGCTATTCAAGAATGTATTCCGAAAAAATAATATCCAACAATGCATCGAACTCCAAGATGGTGCATTGGGGTAGAATGGTGGCTTGTGACAAACAAATCATTAACGGAGGCACCGTTGATGTATTCCCAAAACTCGAAATACAATGTTATTTTAAGCAAATGGATTCTATTTTTAGGTCTCATTTCGTGGAAAAACTAATTTCAAGCCTTTTGGCTCCGATAAAAATTGGGTTTCGATACTTTAAGAACGTTTGAAGAAACAAAGCCAAAATTTTTCAAACTATACACGTGCCAATAGCGCTCAAAGATAATGAAAGATAATTGCCACTTCTCACCTGTACAATCATTGCGTTAAATTAAAGCACCAAAATATAGCTATGGCTACACCAGACAACGAGGTGGGTGATTCCTAGCATTCCTGAGACTACGCAAATTCACAAGAAATTGGTTGCTATTGATTGTCCTAATACGGCTTAACCACCAACCTTTGCACGGCTACAACAATTCCTAGGAAATCATTCCGTTCCTGGCAGGTTACTATACGACCTCACGTCTTCGGACATCAGTTATTTACGATATTTCTCCGAACGAATACGCATGTTCACAAACAATTTTATGGAAGACGTGGGAGAATCTCAACCATCACATATATTCGATAAATACGATCATCAAACAGCACGTTCGTAGACGGCAGATATCTAAGCATGTGATGTTTTGAGATAACATCACGTTTGAACAGTTGAATCGTCAATCGAAGATTCAACATCAAGTCATACAGATTCCTTACAAATGGTGTTCACATCGAATGGCATCCGGAATCACTAGCTGAGATACGGATCCTATCTATATCATTCGTCTATAGAAGAAATCAATTTAAAATATATATATGATAGCTACCAAATACAATGACTGGCGGTATCTACAAACGCGGGAGCTCCAGAAAACACCGTTACCCGTTTGCACCCGAATGATAAGCTGCCCATAACATTGTTATGTTTGCAGGGAAAAGGCATTATTCTTATCTTAAACGACTTCATTCGAACGGTGATTGATTCCTGTACTTGACAAAAGCATTTCAATTTTCTCAAGTGGATACGTGCAAACATTATCAGTGATTATTTCCCAAAAATAAAAAATAAAACAGTCGAGTAAATTAGCCTCCAAGCAAACTATTCTCACAATTCTATTGAGAATTACATGAAAACAACATGTTCTCCGAATTTTCTTATAGACCGAAGAGCCGCACACAAGCCTTATAGGAGTGTAGAGTTCGATGTACATAGCGGCAATAGTAGTGTGGAATGGTAAATAGGAACCGAAAAAAAACGTTACTTAATTTGATGTATAGTTAGCAAAACAAAAAGTGTAAGTTATTATACGGAATACCACAAACACAAACACAAACAAATAAGTAGTAACAGAAAACGGTTAAACATTTGTTCAAACTATATTTTATCGATGTTAAAATGTCACCGAATAAATAACAACTGACTATTCTAAATCGAGTTCAATTTTGAAATCCCTTCCCTGGTCGCCAATTGAAATTCCCGAAAAAAAAATACGAAAGGTTAGTAGGGTTAACCGATGTTAACTTTCACTCTCATCTACTTCTACTTCTATCTAGCTGCGCCTATTTACAAACCAAGCAACAAGATCACATTATTCTCCTCTGGAGACTGAACTCACAAGTAGGTATCTATCAGTCTGTTGATGCGGTTGTTCTCTGTCGGTCGGTGGGTGTGGCCGAACAGAACAGTAAGCTCAATTGTTCTTTGCCCGTTGCGGATGTTGCTGCCGAGGTTGCCTAGCAGCTGGAGCGAAGCAGTTCTCACAAGCTCTCAATTCACTTCAATACACAGGCACGGCGACATTGATGACATTAATTGGCTAGATATATTTTTTTTTTTTTCGAATTGCACCAGTTGGGCAGGGCAGGGCAGGACTGCTGGGGATCAACAAGTCAAGTCATCGTGCACCAGACAGAAGACAGGGCGGCGGCGAGAGCTGCAATTACACAAGTAAATTGATCAATTCCTGCAAAGTGCCATTGCGGTCGTTGGGAACAATTAAACATCATATACGGTGGAGGAAGAGGTCAGGGTCGGTCAGGGCAAAATAGGAGGGAGGGTAATTAAATTGAATGATGGGAATCAAGATCTTGATGGGGAGACGTTTAGGAAAAATTTTGTTGGAGACAGGCGGGTCAACGTAAAAGTTCCATAAATGCTTTCCAGAAAAACCATATTTATTTAAAATCTTATACAGAAATAAATGTCATCACATTGCATCGAACAAAAACATAAATTAAATCGAATAAAGTCGTAAAGGTTGTCAAACTCAATCGGTTATTACAATACTAAAACTTCACTGAGAAACTAATTTTACGAACTAACAAGGTTTCCCATGAAGACCTAGAATACTCAATGAAGCTACTCAATGATGTCGAGTCAATGCTTGTCTACGTATATTTGAATCATTATTCGATCATAAACGTGCTACTCCAAGCAATAAAAAAAAATCCTTGCAAGCACAACCATTATTCTAAATTCTCATTTAGTTAGTTCTCTAAGTTAATCAAGCTGTTAAGAACACAATCAAAAAAAATAACTAGAAGTATTAAAAAAAATCATCTTCTCTTAAAGCTGGGTTTAGACAAGGCAAGTCAATTGATCAACTCAGTTGAATTCTTGATCAACTCACTTGAATTGAAAACAGTTGAACCAGACTCAACTCTTCAAGCCAATTGAATTCGACTGAGTTGATCAATAGCTTGCCTTGCCTAAACCCAGCTTAACTCTTTAACATTCTTGCATTGGCGATTCATTTTAGTAAACAAACTAACACTTCTTCCGACTGTGGCACCTATGTATTAGGCGTCTCGAGCTCGTGCGACCCAACTCATTCGGGGCGGTACACTGAACGAATTTGACATATTCCTGTTATGTGGAAGTCTAATAAATTTGCGCTATAAGATAATCCATTGAAAATGATATGATTGAAAATGTGTCAGGTAAATTCTATATGAATATCTGATACATTTACAATGCTGATAATTTGGTAACTTTTATATGATCGTCATATGATAAATGAAAATCGATTAAATTATAATAATTAACTGAAATGGATTTGAAACCCATAAGCATAAGCTATACTTTTCACCACAATATAATATATGTGTCATGAATCAATCGAAGTAAAGTTTATGTGAAAATAACATGAAATTTACTTCTTCTTTTGACACATATATTTAATCGATTTCTAAAAATAAATTCGAAAAATAAACATCAGGCAGTGGGAGCTTTCACAGTTGTGCCTTTTTTTTATTGTAGCTGATTTGGGATTCGATCAAGATCTGTTGAGGTGTGATGCTTTCGGTGTCTGTGCTCGATTCCACTGGGCCACGGCTGACTTCAAGATTGAGCTCGTTCAAATAGCATGAAGTAAGAACAGCTCTCCCGACATGGAATGTAGTGCAACTTTATGCTCGTTTTGCTAGAGTGAAGACAAATAGCACTGACAAATTTATGTTCCGTTTCGGTGGTGTGGTTTGTTCAAATCTTTCTTAATGCACCTGTGTGCAATAAATCAACGACTAAATTATATGATTTGATAGAACTGGCTCATGAAGTTCGAGTACTACTTAGGGCTGGAATCTGAATTAGCCGTGTAGAAGGCTTACAATTAGAATCATAGCAAAGTAAATATTACAGTAGAATCATTTTTTTTTTCAATCTCAATACATTCTTTTCTGGAACCAATTATCATATAAATGAGTGTACGTTAACATCGTTGAAAATTGTTTAAATAATTTATAAAGAACAATCATGTAAGATGTATTTTATTGGGAGCGATATTCATCCCAGAAAAACATGCAAAAACAAATGCTTGCTGTTGGATTTCTTAAAAGGCATTTTCTATATGACTATTTAATGATGGGGATAGATCTGTTTACAATCTTTAAACGTCAAAAATCAAAGCAAGCTATTACAATGAGATATACATGTTTTCCTATACTGCAAAGTTAAATGACAGTCCAATAGTTTCCACATGTCTATTTACACGCGACATATCAACAAACGTCAAAAATCAGTAAAAGCAACTCCAATAAAATATACATGATTAGCTTATAAGATATATATTTTAGTGAGCAATATTCATCATGAAAACAGGTATATTTTACTGAATTTTCTCATAGTGCAAACTTATATGATTTTCCATTAGTTTCTAGATGTCTGTTCCCACCCATGACATATCAACAGTTTTTCACCATGAAATATATCAGACAATATTCATATACTTCGTACCTTCGCTAACGACGTTCGAAGCAAAGTATTATCAAGTACTAAGTATGTGAAATTACGATAGAAATCATTCCATATCGCAGTCATAGTTTTTAAGTGATAATCCAATGGAATCTATCAATCATCACATAGAATGAATAAATATGCTGACATTGCTATGTTATAAGATGGATCCAATAAACGGTACATGTCGATTTGTTTCAGTGTAGAAGGAAACGAGCAAATTGTTGGCAAGCTGCTTCACGAAGTAAAGCCGAAGATGATACACGTGTGTTAGTGGGAATTTTTTTGTTATGTCTTTTCCCGATTCATATCAAGCTATGTCCTCATCCGTATATATTGCAACAAAGCAGGCAAGCAATATATCATTATCTTTCTACCATTCGGATCGAGCTTTGTTACAGAGCGAGTTTGTCATGGTAGTCGTAGCAACCGTTTTGTCTGTATCGTTGGTTGCTTTATGTGTTTGGATTCACTGATTGAGATCGATGCCTGTACCATTTTTGCATTCGTATAATTGTGTGGCAAGTACAATCATACCATAGAGGTAACTCTAAGACTAGAAGGTCCCGAAGAAATGTGCTCAACTTTTTGGCTCAGCTCTGGTACTCTCTTCGGTCCCTAGCGAATCGATTCACCCCTCGAAACATAGGAATATCCACTAACCCCTCATTTTGTCTGTCAAACTTTCATAGCGAATCAAAACAAACATTGTGAAGTACTAGAATTTCGACTAGAATGGGGTACGTTAATCGTTTGCTTGGGACCAATAGGCTAGTCAAGTAGTGAGCCAATTTAAAATTTTTAGTTTTGTATTGATTGTTGATCATACTCTCTATGAACAGAGAAATTGAAAAAAATTCCAACCCGAAAAATTCCTTGACCGGTACCGGGACAATTGAACCCAGCCACCTCCAGCATGGTCTTGCTTTGGAGTTCCGCCCTTACCAACTGAACTAAGGGAGGCCTAGCGAAGTCAGCCATACTTTTTATAAGTTTCTGTTATCTGAATTGAATGAAATATTTACCTGAATTTGAATGAGGGAATCTCCAGGTCCAGCAATGAATTAGCTGATATTCCTTGATTTTCCAGGTTTTACCAAGTAGTCAACACCCTGCTATAAAAAATGCTATGCTTATTTTCAGAAAACTGTTACTCAAAAACTGCTTGTCCAATCGGCATCCGGCAATGACTGGAAAAATTTGAAGACAAAGTATGCACTGTAAAAAAATGTGCAAACTTTTTTTTTAATTTAAAATAAAATTTAAAAATAATTTTTTCTCAAAAAATTATTCTTTTAACTTTTAATGATTTTTTTTTTATATTTCGGAAAAAAATATTGTCGCAACTGAAGAATTACGAAATACATTCAAACCCGTTAAAAATAATAGCATTAAAAAATAATCATTCAAACCGCGACACCTCGAAAACAGTGTGACTTAGCAATATTTTACATAAGTGCTTTTTTATTGTAAATTTTGTGTACTTTCATTTCACAAAGTCGAGAAAAAATTGGACTGGATTTTGGATATTTTTTTAAACACACTAGTTTTTTTTTAAAAAGCTAATTTTTTTTCTTTATTACCGTGATTTTAGCCGTAGGCTAGTTCATCACGTTATACAGCAGATGATCAGATCCTGCCTAAAAAATAGGTTTCAATTTGACATGAACGTGACGTATAACCGGCTCTGATTACCCAACGAATGAGACAGACAACATTTTAAAAACATAATGTAAGGTGAGGATTAGATCGGGGCTGTGGTGAGGACTGGGTGCGCGAACAAGGTAGAACTCCACCGTAGGAGACAGTACCCGGTCCGGCGGAGAAACCCCGAAGGCAGAAAAAATATAAACGTGAGGAGCACACGATCAATGCAGCCACCGACGGAGGGTTAGATTTGGGCTTCTTTCAGAAAGGCGATCAGCGCAGCCAACGTCGAGGGGTCGTAACCGAGCAGATTACTGACCTTGCGGAAAAGTGTCCCACCGAAATTACAGGAAATCCTCGCATGGCCGGTCCGGAGTCTTGAGATGATCCGCTGGTCCTTGTGCTTATGGCTGTCCGGCCAGGAGCGTATGGTTCCCTTGATCTTCCGCAGGAAAGTGGTCTGCGACTGGAACCATTCCTACTGCCAGGCTTCCATAATGGTATTCACAATCCAACGCCTGACGTCGAGGAGGGGTACGTTCCTGGTGTAGCGGGGACGGGATGCACCAGATCCCGCCAGTATGTCCGCTGCCTCGTTTCCGGGAACACCGCAGTGTCCGGGGATCCACGTAAAGACGGTTGAAGGTGGGGCGTACCGTGTAATGGCTTGTATCCAGGGGTGGCTCGGGGCTTCGGCTTCCAGCGCTTGGATGACGCTGTGTGAGTCAGTTAATACGAGGATCGGTTGATCTGCCGGAGTGATGGCTGCGTCTAGAATAGCTGCGGCTTCAACGGAAAATACGGAACACTACCCCGGTAGACTTTGACTCGTTGCAGTGTTCGGTCCTGCCACTCCGAGTCCAACTCCAGCCCGCGACCGCGATCCGTCCGTAAAACGATGAACGTGCCCCGGATAAACCGACCCGTGTAGCTCTGCAACAGAACGTCTCAAAGTTACAGAGTTATCTCCGGCTTGGAATCCACTCTTAATCCGCTTATCTATTCTGACGACGTTTGATCGCCAACTCTTCTCTCCATGCCAGTGGACCCTGG